GATTTATGGAGAGAAATCACTTTAAGTTACTTTAAGTCGCCTTAAATTGCCTGAAGTTGCCTTAAATCGCCTTAAGTCGCCTTAAGTTGCCTTAAATCGCCGAAAGTCACAATGTTTTCAAGTTCTGCCATTTTCGTTTAAGTCGCCTTAAGTCACCCAAACTGGGGAGTACGGCGACTTAAGGCCCCAGAGTAAGCCTATTAAACGAAGTCAAGGAGCAACAGGAATGACACTTCTTGGAATTTACTTCCTATTCTTCATATCCGTCGTGCAAACTCTCGTAACAGGTAAGTTCACTGATTCAGAAAAGCGCAGTTGGCGAGGAAACTTCCAACGCATTTAAGGGTATCAATAAGGAAACACATCGTAGCGAAATGTGGAAGCGACGGCTGGACTTAAAAATTCGATTTAGCTCGGGTGAGACGTGAATTTTAAAAGCAAAATTTCCTATGTTCTTCATCTTCGAGTTCGATAATGATTTTAAACGCAATTGGCCAGGGACACAGACAGTCTTCAAATAATCAATGCCATTACCGTGTGTTTATGCTCAGTGAAAGGATGTTACTTTGAATGGAACACGCTTGACTCGTCAGTATCGAGACATGTTCCGACGCTGACTGATGCTCTGAGTTTATCACTTAAAGTAGATCTGTTCATGTTGCCCTTCAGCAGCATTGTCAAATTATACAAACTGTTAGAATGAGGCCTTAAACTGCTGTAAAAAGTAAAATTAAAAAACCAAGCTTTCGCCGATCAACGGCATCATTAGGGATAAGAAAAATTCCGGGCACGCTACCATATAAATGATAAAAGGGCTGACTATAAATGATATATATGCAAAGAGAGTGTGTGGTGAAATGTGTAAAAGATGTGACTATTTATGAAAGCTATACAAATAAACTGTCACTCCCCCTTCACTGACATAATGAAAAAATGACACTGAAGAATTTTCGGTCCTGCACGTCTTTTAAGACGTGCTTAGAAGCATGTCCTTAAAGACTAGCCTTTTCCATTTACATTTACATCAGTTCTGAATGATCGCACAAGCGTCTATAATGTAATTTTCTTTAGGCAGGGTTTTTGACAAAAGCAGGAAGGCTTCTAATTCATAATAATTTCCTATTATTAAAAACTAGATCATCGGATAATATGCAATTTAAGACTTTTTATTGGCTTAGCCATTATTGTATATCAGCCAATATACCATAATCTACAAATATGGCAAGCGTACGTGTCAGCTTAAAATTAAAAGAGAGCTAAAAATTTAATACAATTTGATAAAATTTAATATCTTAATTTAACGTTTTTAATAAAACAATTATTCCACTCGCTCTGTTGGATATGAGATGATTATAGCCAACTCGGCGCTACGCACCTCGTTGGCTATCCATCATCTCATATCTAACGCGCGCTCGTGGAATAATTGTTAATTATTCTTCATGAGGGTCATAATACAATTCTGTTAACTGTCAGAAAATTGCATTTAGTATCGATAATTTGTTGCGTTCTTTTTTTTTTTTTTCACATGATTTTCATTAACTTTATCATTATCTCTAAAACTCCTGAATTCAGCGTAATTTCTAACTGTGGATGCACACCTTTTTGGAAACCTTTAGCAACTAATTACCACGCTCCACATACTGTCTTCGAAGATTAGTAAAGTTAAACCCCTTGCTCTGAAATTCCAAAATGTTTTCAAAGTTTTTTTGGCTTTGCAAATGGTTGTGAATGTAGAATAAGATGTAACTTACACGTAATTGAGCATAACATAAATTATTGGTTGAGAAAGTGACACTAGTTTTCTGGGTCAATCGCAGACCGAAGCGAAGCAAAATTGATCCAATTCCGAATTACTTTCCACTCTCAATCAAAAATTGATTTACTTCTTTAGGTTTAAGGCTATGCCCAACATGCTTCAGAACGACATCAACAGGAATAAGAATTGTTTGAAATAAGATGATTGTTGCTTTGCTATAAAATTAAGCTTGTATAGCGGATTATCACATCTTTCGAGTACAATTTGATCAGCATGAGTACTTTTTTCAGAGACTGACCACCTTGCTGGGTAACTGCAATGAATAGTCTTAAAAAATTTAAGATTGTTAATTTTTACCTAATTGCACAAGAACAATCATATGATTACTAGTTGATAACATGCAAGCAAAAATACGACTATGTTTTCCTTTTAACTTGTTTTTATTTCGGTTCATGGCTCACTGACTCGGCCGCTTGACTTTGTCTTGTTGCCGGAGAAGTTGGGCTTTTCCCTCAGGAACCGTTGCTTCAAGCTTTTAAACTCTGTCAAGCTGGAATAACGAGACATTTGTATTCTTCCCCTGTTAGATATCTGTCGGGAGCAGTAACCATTAACGAAAGTTACCACGCTATTAGTCTTTCCCGTCTTTCGCACGAACTGTAGTGTAAAAATGAATAAAGGCTGATAGTTTCTAAAGAAACTGTTTTGGAGCTGCGTCGGTGGGCGTAACGAAATAATTTGGATATATCAACAAAGTTGAAATGGTAAATGGCGACGAATGGCGACTATTCGAATGGCGACTATTGGCTCCGACGAAGGGCTAACGCTCGAAACGTCAGCTTTTGCAATCGTTACGGTGGCCAATTTACCATTTCAACTGTGTTGATATATCCAAATTATGTAATGTAAAAATTTTGTTCAGCAAGCCAGACTTTTAGCCAGTTGTTTATCCTTTGTTGGTTGTGTAAATATCGAGGAACCAACGATGGTTTTCAGAATGACGGAGGCGGATTAAATCAGATTTAAAACAACAGCACAGCCAACCAAGTTTATTACAACATGGCGGCTCTTCCAGTCGGGCTACCTTTCAATGCACATGCTTGTAAGACAACCGATGGCCAAATACATCATAAAACGTGCCGACAGAGTTGGAAGTGAAACATTTGCGCGTTGTCAGCATAAAACTTCAAAGAAAGGCGAAAGTTCGCTCACACGAACCTGTTGGAAACTCTTTTCATTGTATATTGTCTCTTATTCGTTTACGATTGCATCGAAAGGTATGTTTTATTTACTTATGTGTGCGATCTGATTGAAATACCTGTTGATGGTGCGACTGACACCAAGACATAATCGTCATATGGAGTCAAATGTCGTTCTCTGACAGGACGTCCCACTTTTAATTTTTCATGCATATTTAGCTCGCGTTAACCACTTGAATTATAAAATTTACGCTTTTGGCATGATGATAGATTAGCTTTGAAATCTAATTGTGATTCAACTATCAAATATGTTTACATTTATAGACCCCTGTGTGCGAGATTCTAAGTTTTGTCCAGTTATGATTACGATTTACAGTTATGTCTACAAGTCGTACTGAACAACGCGCGTGGACTGCTTCACAATATGTCGATGAAAGTGTTGGTCTCGGCTCATAGCCGAGTGTTTTTGGTTTATTTATCATTTGAACCCAAAAGCCTCTAAAAGCTAAACGTCTAGTGTCTCGGCTTATGGCTGGTATGGGCCTACAGAAAAATAAATACGGTAAATCAATTTATAATTTGTTTCCTTGTTGAAGCTACCGCAAGAAAAAAATGCAAACGAAAACAATTCCACCACAAAGTGAGAAAACACTAGTCGTTGGGACATTCCCAGGCTATTCAGAGAAGCGAATTTAACAATATTATGCACATTTCATACATTACGACAACTGTGATTGCTATCATCCTCACGTCCAAAGCGCATCTTTTCATTTCCGTGCTGTAAACGGTACTTTCACGGTTCAACTTTTTCTTTTTAGAAGCGTAAGACACGGTCACGGTACAAATTAAATGTTTGGAATCGCTTGACATTTCGAAACAAACATCTGATATTCTCAAGAAGTTTGAAAAAATCTTTCATTTGTAATTCGGCTGCGAAATTTCCTTGACTGCCCCAGGGCGTTTAGTCTATTTTAGAGACCGCGCCGGTCAGCCGGGCATTTAGCCACAGCGTTTTATCTTAAGTATTTTATCATTAATATTTCTATCAGTTTCCGAATCGAAAATGCAGTAATAGAACGAGGAATAACATTTTTTGCACTGACATCTTCAGCTATTCATCGCTGAACAATTGCAAGTACGTATACTTTGAAAGGTTGACGCTCCTTGTTTTGACAGGGCTAACAAAAGGGCAATCTTTATTGAAGACATTTGGCTTATATACCAGCAGTACACGGAGTTCGTTAAGAAGAGTGAGATTTTTTGCTTTCTTGCCGTACATCATGACTTCACGAAACAAAATGGAAATCTCTATTTTCTTAAACTTATTTCTCTCTTCATATTCTAAAAAAATTCAGCAATTTTTTTTTTATTTACTGTACAGGAGAAATTTGTCAGTTCATGATCTTTGAATCGATTTCATAAGCATTGTAAATTATTCAAATATTTTGTGTTTTGAAGCAATTACCCCTTAGGCTAACTCCACCGAATAACCGCAAAAAAATTAAAAATGGTTATGCGTACAAAAAGAGAAATGCTTAAATGCAATTGTAAAGCACGGACAATATATGTATATATATACATTTTTTTTTTTTTTGAAAAGATCAACGTTTCCTTTAGAGGCGTGTGTCATGACGAAAGCAGCCGAATTTCGCGAACAAACTAAAAAATTCACCAATCATGTCGTTGCTTACGTAAAAGAGTAATGAAATGTTTGGTAACACGTACACTCACACATTGAGGGAACAATATCCCATTCACATTAGAGACTGCGACCACGCAAATGATCTTTTTAGTGTAAATTAACGAGCACTTGAGACGTACTTGTTTACTAAATTTATTAATAACATCAATATTTCTGTAGATTTATATATATGTGTTGCTTTACTTTCAATTTTTTCGCTTTTTGGTAGGAATATTAGTGACGCAATCGGCTGAGCCTCGTTGTGTGACTTTTTCTCATGACGTCAGTGTTAACCTCGGTTTATGATTGGACCTGGAAAATTAGATTCACAATTTCTTTCTCTCATTAGAATTTTCTACTGGCATCATCGACAAAGATTTAGCTTGTAACAAAATTTCTACAATATGTACATTTCTTGGAGTCTTATTGTACTCTATCAGTCCATTTCATCGTTCCTAGTGCACAGATCCGAAGGTACGTTCTTAGAGAACTTAGTTTGGTACATGAAAACCCAGAATGTATGCACTGTTCGGTAGATATTTGAGTCACTCGTAGCCATAGCGGAATAAATGCTATTTTGTTGGATAAATTAGATCTAAAGTACACAGCAAGGAAAGAGTTTCTGCTAACGTTGAATTTGTCACGCCTTTGGAATTAATCTAAATATAAAACTAGCTAGTTTGAGTCGTGGGTGCTTTTGAGACAACTTTAATCATCAAAATCATCCTTGATTAACCTTACAAATACTAGTGACTTCGACTCACGAGACAGAGAGCTCACTTTCAGAACTTTTATGTTATCAGGATCATTTATAAAATACACATGGATGCATTTTATAATAAGAGTTAATGTACTATAGTATTTGAGCTAGGGATCCTAACTGACCATAGAAGGCCACTTTAATTTAAACAACGCAGCTGTAAACACTTCAAAGTAGCAGGTTCGTCGGCGAGTTTGTATTTGCACCGCTCTCACAGTTACAATGTAAGTCTGAACTCGTGTTTCGACCACTTGAATTCATAGAGTGTATCTTATAATGTGAAGTCATCCAAACTGATTCAGCGATTAGTAAGGTGCGCCTTGTCACGGTTTGTGAAAGGGGACGGAGTAAACTGACCCAGAGTTATGTTTCTTAATTTTTATGGAATCTCTTAGAACAGAATAGATGTTGTTTATTCAACATCATGATATTTTAGAATGCTACAGTCTTGCGATAGAACTCAAAACTAGCCCTGGGATCAGTAACATGGAATGGAATGGAAAGTTTTAAAATCTTAGGAGAGAATTTTAATTGAAGCTTCATGGTTGGAAGCCCTTGTGGCTCCAAAATGAAATATAATTGCCAACAAGCAGCAAGCTTAATGATAATTTAGATCAAAAAGACACTTTTTTAAGGCTTCAAAAGCTGCTCGACTCTAACATCAAATTATTATTTCAGAGCACCTCATCCATAATATGTTGACTTGGAAGGTGTCAAAGAACACTCTTGGTCCCAAAAGCTTCTTAACTTGATACATCCTCGGTTTTCAAGCACACTTATAGTAGTTTTGTTAGCCCCCCTAAAATCCACACCTCTTCTGTAAGTGTCTAATCAATCTCTTATTATGTCAGTAAAGGGCTATAGGGTGTTACTCTTTCAGGGTATGGTAAAGCAATACCTATTAGCTCATGTGTAGTTATGTTTTTTTATTTCAACTTGATAAAAATGAATAGGGCGTTACATCTCTCCTTGTATGAGGTTTTAGGAGTCTCCAAGCCATTTATCCGAATTTCTTGTGACCACGGGGCCCTCTAAAATTTACCTTCGATTTTTAGTTGCAGACAATTCGTAAGTTGAATCTTTAGAAAACTAATTTTTCTACTCCTTAGTTTATGTACCTATACTAAGGTGTTGTTTGAAGGGGTCAAGCCATTGTATGGGAAATATGCCCTCTTTTCACTGACAAAATAAGAACGGACAATAAGAGTTATATATTTTCATGTCCTATTTTGTCTCTCTAAGAATTTGTTTCTAATCAGTTGTGAATCATCCCACGAACTCATGAGCTATTTTGTTTCCATGCTGTTTGACGGAACGAGGGCCTCGTTCCATCTTAAATTTCCCCTCTAGCCACTCTCAGGTATAGCATGACCAACACTTCACTTTTATCACTTCCATGGATGCACTGTTCTCAAAACCCTTCGTAAACATTACCTTGCTTCATGCGTTCTCTTACTATCTTTGAAGAAGTAGCACAACCAGACTCTTATTATGAAATGCCAAAACGAGATTATATCTTTCTTGGCTTCATAAATACTCAAGAATGTGAAACACAATGAAAGTCACTTTCAGATGCATGATGGATAACAAAAATAAGGAACTGAATGGCAAATTCAGTTACCTCCTAGCGGTTGGCATCTTAAGTGGAATTTTAGTCCCCCTTTCAGTTTTCTACTCTTTGCAAAGGTGCCAAGATGCCATGACCCGTGTTGTCCCATTGCACAGTCCCATTCCTATTAGTGCTAACATCAGGCTTGTGAGAACAAATCACATTTGAGAACTTTATCATGATTTAATGAAAATGATGATAATAATGATGATGATAATAATAGTAATGATAATGATAACCTTTATTCGCAGTAATCACCAACAATATTAAGAACAATCGTGGTAAAATGTTTGAGGATCCAAAACTGCATTTAAATGTCTCTTAAAAATCGAAAACTAGCGGATACAATGATGATAATAATGATAATAATAATAATAATAATAATAATAATATAATGATAGTAATAACGATAAAAATAATGATAAATTTGCCACCCAAATGCACTTTTTTTAATAGCAATCATGATAAAAATAATAATAATGATAATAAGGATAAGACAGGAGCCATCTCCTAGTTCTTTTTATTGCCAATATTTATACCTCTCAATATCAGCCTTTAATTCTTTATTACTATATTTTACCTCAGACAAATCCTACCCATTTCAATCAAAGTCAGCATATTTTCAAAAATGTCTTGTTTTTCTCCTTAGTAAACATATAAGTAATGTATTTATATTTAAATTTTATTCTTATCGACACAAGTTAAAAAATATATAGAATCATAGATTCCATTGTAAATAGATTTAGCACTTACAATAACAATTAGAAACCCTTTTTATGTTTTTTGATTTTACTATTGTTATTAAGACTTGGATTGGAATAAAGCTATACATAATAAGGATACTAATAACAATGATAATGATGACAATAAGCTATATCTGCCGATAAAACTTTTAAAAACTTTTACGTCAGAAAAAAATCAATTTCCAAGGTTAGTTCTTGAAAATGAATACGCAGAAAACAGTCTTGTTGATAACGCATAATAAAAACAATAAAAATAGTAATAATGGTGATAATAAAAAGAATAATAATGATAATAATAATAATAACGATAAGCTATAATCAATTCCATATTGAAATCTAACGCTCTAAAGTCGTACGAAATTAAAGCTGTCTATAGACTATGATAACGTAACTTCAGCATATGTTGATGGCAAGTTTTTAAAAACGAGGTCTCCAAACGCTCATGTCATAACGTCAGATAAAAAAGGAAATAAATAATAATTCTAAGGATTCTAAAAGCTTTCATGGTAAGATAAAAACGATGATAATATTTTACTCTTATTTAACAGGTGCTGTGATTGAGATACCCACGAATTCTGCAAGGAGGGTTACTGCAAGAATCTACCAGAGAGTGTTCCTAGAGTGCTCTGTATTCAGCGATCAAGAAGGTGTGACAGATATCGATTGGTATCGCTGCTCTACCAATGATTGCGATGGTAAATGGAACAAAAATTGGATAGCGCAAGTTCAAAATATGAGAAATACAGATGTCGTTAACTCAAGCTTTGAAGTTTACACTAACGGAACATTAGTTATTGAGAGGGTTCTTCCAGTGGATGATGAAAAATTATTCATCTGTGTTGCCCATAGAAAGCATGTGGAGAGAAAACAATCCAACACGATCATCAGTGTTGCCAAAGGTGATGTGTTTATAAGTGTTATATAATATTGATTTTTATAATGACACGAATAGTAATAATGATAATGACAGTAATAACAATAATAATAATAATAATAATAATAATGATGATGATGATGATGATGATCACGGAAATTTAGCAATGAGGTGTTTTCCCTTGTCACAGTTTCCAGGTAGAAATGGAATTTGGAATTTTGTTTTCGGGAGAAAAGATAACTTGAGAACCCGAAGAAAAACTCTCGGAGCAACGACGAAAATCAACATAAATCCACTTGTGACGTCAGAGGTTTTCTGTGAGACATTGCGTTCAACTCTCTCATGCGGGCTAAAACACGTTGACAAAATTCCATCAAGTTAGTCTTGACCGCTGTCTTATGCTGTTAAAAATTATTAAAAATCAAACCTGCTGTCACCTACAAATTTAGAATCGCTCATTCCAAATATGTAACTATAAAGAGAACTTCATGTCTTACAAAAGCTTGAGAGTATCTCCATGAGAATGGTTGGAATCAGTCATGTGTCACCCTCTTTACACTGAAAATGTCACGGATTCATATTTAACAACATCGCCCAGAAATGGTTTGTGTCAAAAGTAATACTTTTACTATTTGCTATCTTTAATGTAAATCATATCAGCATTTACCTCAATATCAACCAGAAAGTAATTATTTCTAAGGCAATTATGACGATGTCGATTTCTGGTGGCAAGCACGTTGAAATGCTCATGTTTTAACGTTATATCGTAAAAGAGTAAAAAGTAAAATGAAAAAGTAAAAATACAAAATCAGTGGCCGCTAAAAGATTAATGAAATTTAGCTTTCTCATTTAGTTCCGATGAATACCGCCGGTGATTCCCCGTCTATTTGTCTCTTTGAATTAAAATGGCCTTGTCTTACTTGGTTATGATAAATTACAAGTAAAACGAATTTGGAGAGATTTATTTACATCGCGTGACTTCACTAGGATTTGAATTAATATTAATTGATTGAGTTGGCGGAAGAATTTGCATCTACGCTTCTATGTTTTCGCGATTTTTCTCTTATTTCTACATTTTCTTTGTTTTATGAACTTGTCTCTCTGCTATCAGAAAAGTAAAGTTCTATTCCTCGATATGTTGTAAAAAAAAGTACTTGAAATCCCGTGTATGCTGAACCAGTCTACCAAAATAAGTCAAAAGGTTTTCAATACGCTTATTAAAGAGTTTAGACCTTTTCCTATCAGTTAGAGTCACTTCCTCTAAGAATGTGGAAAGTTCAGTTACCAGATCTTTTTTCCTATCTCAGAAACCATACGGAATCTCCAAAAATTAAAGCATCTCCCTAAGCATTACTACGCTGAAAGTTTCAAGTTTTTTTTATCGCGTGAGAGGTCACACAAGCAGTATGAGTCATAGCAAATAGGGTGCTTTAGACCAAGCTGGCCGACAACTTTTCACGTCTTTCTTGCCCCTCTTCCTCTGCGTAAACTTCCTCCACCTCGATTTCTTGGCATTCCAGCTGTCCTCTTCTTGCGGCCGCCAGTCTCGAGAAAAACCCCTGCATTTGAATCTTCGTTAGCCAGTCCCTCCTTTCTAACACGCGGGAACTATCTTGGTTTATTGGCACTCTCATGTCTGCAGCTACTTTTCCGGGATCTCCCTTCATACTGGTTCTCTCCCCAAGGTCAAATTTCGTTGTGAGATACTGTTTGACTTCAAAAGTGAAACGCACGGCTTCCTGGCCTCGAGGCTTATGTAGTGCCCAACCAAGCTGCATATCATTGCTGGGACTAACAGCTTCTTTCTGGTGCTGTCGCTCGCCACTAGATTCTACTAGTGCGCTGTCGATTTCCTCGTTGTTAACATTGAGCAATTCCTCCTCAGAGTCTCTTTGAGTTTTTCATACATTGTAACAGAATTTCGAAGAATTTGGCCGTGCTGGTCTACATTAAGGTAACTTTCTAATGTACCGAATTTCTTAAACACCATATTGCCCCCCAGGTCAGAATAGGCAAAAAGACCATTCGCGTGCCCACCACCACCATTTTTTACCGTGTTATGGAGCCGAGCCTCCTTGAGCGGAAAGGATTTTTCATTTACAACGAGGCCTGTAGGATCTTGAGACCTGACGAATAAATCTTGGTAAGGAATCAACCTTCCTTGCCCGATGCCATAAGCTCTCCATATTCGCATTTCTTTCCCCTTAAACTTAAAGTTGTGAAATTTACTAAAAACCGTCGTCTTTTATAATGTGTTTTTTAAATTTCGTTCAGTAAGCAAACACAGGTAGTTATACCTCTACAAGACGTTCAGGTAGTTGTACCTTCTTCATGCTTCTCTATTCCTTAGGTTTTAATTTAAGAATACGACATCTGGCCCATTAAGTTTTCGGGACCTCACCAGGTTTGACAGGTGAACACAGGCTACAGCGATGGGAGAAGAGCGTTCTCAGCACTGCTCCATTCTTTCCTCTCGTTCCCATTAATTCGATCGTATCACCTCGGATGCTCTTTCTTTTCATCAATTTTTCTCTTTTTATAGCAAGAAGAATGCAAACTTACTTAACGTAGTTACGTAATTTATACCTTTTTTTTTTGTAGAAAAGCCACAGTTAATATTAGAGAGTTCTACAACGCTTCATGTAATGGAAGGAAAGGACCTTCATTTGAATGCTAGGGTCCAAGGCTATCCTTTCCCCAGGGTTACTTGGAGTCATCATGGGCATCTCCTTAAGGATACGTCGAATGTCCATTCGGAAACAAGTCTTAAAATTCCCAACGTCAAGGTATCTGAACGCGGACTGTACACCTGTTACGCCGAGAATCCATTCGGAAATGATTCCCTCATCGTAAACGTTCGTGTTGAAGGTACTGCTCTTTTTTCATCGTTAGGCCTTCTTCAGGAGAGTAGATGTACAGTAGTCAGGAAAGAGAGATGAAGAGAAAGTTTTATGTGTGTGGTTTGCAATGTGTTGCAGTTTTTGTTCTATATATTAATTTTCTTTTATTCCATCTTTTTTTCGGTTTTACTTGTTTTTTTCCCCCTCATTCTGTTTATTTTGTTTTCCTATTTGTTTGTTTGTTTGTTTTTTTGCTTTCGTTTGTTTTTTATTCAAAACTTACTGCTCATTCAAACGCATCCATTTTTTTCTTTTGTATCTAGGTCAGCCGAAGACGACGACAACAGAATCAGGTAGTTTCTTCCACTCTTTAACCTTTTCAGATGACCCAAAAGTACTAATAAAACAATCAATTGCAGAATGTGGTAGCGTTCGAAGAATGTCTGACGCTGAAGTCTTCGCATAAATCAGTTTTCATTTGAGTTGATACCGTAGTTGTGCAATCTATGGAAGTTATCTAAAAACACCAACTGCTCATTCAGAAAAAAAGCCACCCAGTTCTTGAGATGTTTCCTTTTTTCCCCTCTGTGTCTAGATCAACCGCTGACAACAACCACAGAATCAGGTAGGTTCTTCCTCTCTTTAACCCTTTCAGATGACCCAAAAGTATTAAGTAGGGTTCCGAGAACCTCTCAAGTTCCATAATTCTCAATCGAATAAGTTCAGTTTTACTTGCTCGAAAGAGACTTATCAGCTTGCCTAAAACAATTAATAGCTGAATGAGGCAATGTTCCAAGAATATCTGACGCTGAAGTCTTCGCATAAATTCAGTGGTTTTGATTTGATACCGTGGTAATGCTTTCTATGAAAGTTATCCAAAAACACCCAATTCTCACTCAGAAAGGGAGCCGCCTACTTGCTGAGACGTTTCCCTTTTTTCCTCTTTATCTAGATCAACCGGTGACAGCAGCCACAGAATCAGGTAGGTTCTTTCCCTCTTTAAACTTTTCCGAGAACTTCTCAAGTTCCATAATTCTCAACCGAATATGTTCATTTTTACTTGCTCGAAAGAGACTCGTCTTTTATCAGCTTGCCTTAAAAAAATGAAAGGCTGAATGAGGTACGTAATGTTCGAAGAAAATCTGAAGCTGAAGTCTTCGCATAAAGTGGTTTTGAGTTGATACTGTAGTAATGCTATCGATGAAAGATATCTGAAAACACCTACTTCTCATTCAGAAAGAAAGCCACTTACTTGCTGAGACGTTTCCCTTTTTCCCTCTGTATCTAGATCAGCCGGTGACAGCAGCCACAGAATCAGGTAGGTTCTTCCACTTTTTAACCTTTTCAGATGACCCAAAAGTATTTAATGGGGTTCCGAGACCTTCTCAAGTTCCATAACTGTCAATCGGATATATTCATTTTTACTCGCCCGAAAGAGACTCGCTTTTTATCAACTTGCTTAAAAGCAATCAATTACTGAATGTGGTAATGTTTCAAGAATATTTGCGCCGAAAGTCTTCGCAGAAACGAAATCTGTTTTGAGTTGATACCGTAGTGGTGCTAATTATAAAAACTATCTAAACAACACCTACTGCTCATTCAGAAAAAAGCCACTCCCTTGGTGAGACGTTTCTCTCTTTTCCCTCTGTATCTAGATCAGCCTGTGACAAAAACCACAGAATCAGGTAGGTTCTTGTACTATTTAACTTTTTCAGATGACCCAAAAGTATTTAATGGGGTTCCGAGAACTTCTCAAGTTCCATAATTGTCAATCGGATATGTTCACTTTTAGTTGCTCTAAAGAGACTCGTTTTTTTATCAACTTGCCTAGAGGCAATCAATTGCTGAATGTGGTAATGTTTGAAGATTATCTGACGCTGAAGTCATCGCATAAATCTGCTTTGAGTTGATACCGTACGAGTGCTATCTATGAAAATTATCTTAAGGGCAAAGTCAGCCTTAAGCAAAATTTCCGATATCTTTTTCAGTTTTCAACTTCGTCATTTCATTTTATTGGAGCCTTCTCCTGAGTGACTTTGCTGAATATATTATTGAGTGCTATATGTTTGACAGACAAAATATGGCGTAACTAAACTATTAGCTATGAAAAGGGATAATCAAAGAAACGTTGAAAAGAGCACAAATGGGAGCATGACGAAACAAACTGCATGGTTGGAAAATGAATGAATTTGCGGGTTTAGCATACCACGGCATTCTTTATACATCACTCTTTAGAACTCTTTTAGATATGAATGGCTAAGAAAATTATCAAAGACGTTTACTTTCTACATATTTTGTGCCCTTAGAAATCCCAACTCCATCATATTCACCATCATCGAGTAAGCACAAAGTGTACTTATTCAATGTTTTAAAGTTAAGTTTTGGGGCAAATTTTAGCTGTCTTGAAAATCATATAGCACCGCCTTGATTTCTATTATGCAGTCCCTTTTTTTCCGCGACCATGAACTTCATTACTTGTATGTGCTTATCATCGAACTCAACTCTAGTACTTCTCAAGGCCGCACTCGAGCTAGTCCAATCTCATATGCACTGATTGAGTGAAAGCCGTAACCTTTTTAGTCTTAAAAAACTAGTTCCCTCCGGCTTACACCCTCGTCCCCTTTCCTATCGCCCTTCTCTTCTCACTTCTCTCCAATTCAATACACCTCCCAAACCCATTCCTACACTCCGCACCCCCTCCCCTTCCTTCCTGCAGTCCCCTCTGATAAGAACAGTTTGGTTCCGCCGTTTGGAGGAATTAGTGCTAAGGTTTTGACGAATTTGAAAACATGGCTTCCCACATGTCGTATAAAATGTAACCTACAGGGTATTCATCTTGTAAGGTTCGCTTGGTGGTAGGAAAAGAATCATAATGTACTCTTACTCTCGATTAGTATGAAGCCTAGTTTAAAGGAAGGCCGGGACTGAAAAACCTTTCACGCTAAATAAATGAAGAAACAAAGAAAACAAGATTGCTGAATCACATTCTTGAGTCCTATATGTCTGTCAAAAAAAGGAATAGAGGAGAAAATATTAAGTAACTAAAACATTAACTAGAAAAAGAAGGAGAATTAAAGAAAGGTCGAAAAGACGAAACAGCCAGCGTGACTAAACAACCAGCGTGGTTGGAAAATTTACTAATGCGGGTTTAGTCAATCCCAGCATTCTATAAACATGACTCTCTAGACCTCTGTAAGATACATATGAAAAAGTATAATGAGTGTTTACTTTGTAATTTTCTTATGACCTTAGATATGCTACCTCCATTATCTTCATTACCATCGACTAAGCAGTGGATGTACTTGTTCAATTTTTGTATGGTCAGTTTTAGAGCAAATTTTAATTACGTCGAAAATCATATAGGATCGCATTGAATTTTATCAGTCGTTTTTTTTCGCGATTAAGACCTCTATTGCTTGTATTGGTTTTCACGTGACATAATAAGAATTAAAGAGTAAGTAATTATCAATCCTTCCTAGATTTTAGTTTAGTTTCTTATTAGAACAGTGAAAGACTCATCTTAAAACTTTCAGTTTGATAACTGTTTTTCGTCTTGGATAAAGCAAGGTTAGATTTCTAAGCTTTTGCGTTACAAGATATCAAAATGGCGGCCGAGAATGCTATACATTCCTGGTATGTAAATAAGTACTCAAGATATGTAGATGTTTATGAGTCCCCAGAAGACAAACATAGGCTTGTTATAGCTTAGGGCGATGAAATATGTTTTTGTTAGCTTGCAGCCGCCATATTTGCGCTCCTGAGAGAAACATAAACATGGCGTCTCACTACAATGCCTTATCAGTTTGAAAACTGCATTTCTTGGAATATCTCCTCCACGAAACATCGCGCAGAACTGAATCTTTGCGAGAATGTTTGGATCTTCATCTTCTTTCTTCCTTTTGATAAAGCCGGCAATTTGGTTATTATCGAATTCAACTCTAATACGTCTCGTGGAATTTCATGTGCACTGATCGAGTGTAAGCCATAACTTGCTTAGTGCCTGTTTCCCACCGATTTACACCCTCGTTCCCCAGCTTTCCTGTCTCCCTCTTTCCTCATTTCCTTCCATTTCAATACACCTCCTAACCCCCATTCCTGCATCCCCCATCCCCTACACACGCCTTCAGCCTCTTCTAATAGAAAAACAGATTTGGTTCTGCCGACTGCAGGAAATGATGCTAACGCTTATTTGCAGGAAAAGAGCCACCATGTACCCTAATCTCTAAACAGAATAAAGCTTAGTTGAAAGGAAGACTGGGACTGAAAAGTCTTTGGCGCTAAATGAATGAAGAAACGATTAAATAATAGATTGAAAGTGATTTTTTGAAGTGATCATGGATGCTAAGTCTTTAATCCGTTATGAGTCACTAACTTAATTCCAATCTATGCTTTGAATGTGAATTCCAGTTATCCACATCACCGCATAGTCATCTATGAATTTTTTTGTTGTTATGTTGTTTTTAGGGGGCTCAAGTTCCACCGGCGGGTTCATTGCTGCAATAGTGTTCGCTGTTCTGTTGTCCGTCGTCTTAATAATCTTCTGCCTTCCAATTAAATATCGTAGAGCAATTATAGTGCAGTTGAAGGGTCTCCTTCGGAGATGCGTATCTAGAAGATAGTCAGTAGAGCTCTTAATTACGACGAATTATTTGCTGCCATTTTGTGAGTATTTTTAAGGAAAGTGTAAAAATGCATTGATTTTCCTGTCTATACTTGGTAATTTGATCATTTGCTTTCTTCTTTATCCCTTTTCACGAAGAAGAGTACAAATAACGTGCGAGTTGCGAACAAATCTGCAATGGATGATAGGGCCGAGTGAAGTACAATTCGTATGAGTAATAGGACTTCTTGCAATCAAAAAATTCTTCTGACAGCCAAATTGGACTCGGCCTACGGCCTCCTTCAGGTTTGGCTGTCCCCGAATTTTTTCCCATCCAACTATTTCTAAAATTGGACAAGCATATAGTTCTCTTACCTATGGTGGAGCTATGTAGCTAGTCAGTTGTAATCGGGCATTGCTTAGTCTAGCTATTATTCTTTAGTTTTATAAAACTACCACAGCGAAAGCCAAGAGGAAAAAGCAACTTCTTTCCTTGGTTAGTCTCTTTCACAGCAGTTGTTTGGTGGAATAAAGCTTATCAGCGCGTTGCGTGACGAGTCCAAACAACGGTCACGAAATATAGAAGTACGTGTCGATTAAAAGTTTATCTCTATCCTTAAGCTTCTCTAAACGATTGCAAAACTTTGTAACTTCTATCATTTTTGTTGTTTACGCGTCAGAGAATGCACGCCGGAAAGTATAACGGCATCGCTACAAATATTAACCCCGACGCGTGTCTGATTGGTTGTAATTATTTTTTTCTCGAAAGGTCACTCTGTTGTTTCACAAATGATTTTATTTTATTCAAATTTGAGTTCATGGAAAAAAAGTCGAATTTCAAATACCTAATACGACATTACTGAGATTAAGATCCACGTTTACGTGAATGGCAAACGGCATGCAAAAATCGAAATTTCGCCAACTAGCTTTTGCCTTGCAGCCCTTAATTTGCATAATAATGTGAAATTATTTACATTAAATTTGAATGAGATATTTTTCCATTTTTATCTACGAAAAACTCCTTTTTAGTAGTGACAAGAAGATGGAGCGAGATCAGAATTAGATCTCATGACGAGCTTTGCCCACCAAAAAAATTTATGCAAATTAGGCTAAGCCGGATCTGAGTTCCGCCTGGCAATTATTAACTGTAAGAGAAGATCTCAGTTCGCGCCCACAGCACGTTCAAGGTGTTGCGGATGAAGTTTCTGTAATTACTTTTTGGCACTTTTCGGCGTCAAAATTGCATAGTTTGGGTAACCCAAAACCCTTAAGCTGACCTTTCTTGTCATAACACGAATGTTTTCCAGAAAGGGACACGCGGTAATGTCGGTGTCTCTCGTGTGCAGGCATTTTTCCAGGTAAAACCCTCGCGTGGAATCAACTCATGTTTAATTTAACGCTCCTTTTATGCGCACAATGTAAGCCAAAGCAATTTTATAGTTAAACGTAAAGATCAGAATATTTTCTTCTAAGGATGATAAATGATCGACGCTGAACTAAATTATACGTTGAAGAAAATGCAAAACGGCATAACATGTAAAAGAGGAAATTTGGAAAAATACGAAGTTACGGAAACCATGAAAATCTTCGATTTTTAAGAAAGGAAATTTTTATAATTCCAAGCTAAGTAAGCTTTTCTAGTGTTTCATTCTTTAAGGCTTTGTGTAGAGCGGGGCCTTTGTTTTATAAACCGTAAAACTTAGTGACAAGTCGAAAGGGCTCGCTCTTGGTTATGATACCAAAGAGTAGAGGGACACCACGGTGATCTTCCAGGTGTTTGATCATCGTCGCCGCTCGTGGTGTACTTCGCTACTTAGGTGAGCGAGATCGACGTTCTTCCTCTCTTTAATTCTGACAGCTGTGTGAAAGACCTGATCCTTACAATGAAAAACGGTCGATTGTGCTTTTTCAGTGGCGGCTTTAACGCTCGTCCATATTCAGCGCTTATCCTAAACATGCATGGCATCTCTAGCTATCTACAAGACACGCTGCGATGTATTATTCGTCCATGTTCAACACAACAACTGCGCTAGTGAGATAGAGAATCGAAAGATCACATTGTTGCGCTCGAGGCAGAGTGCGCTAAGTTTGCCAAGTTCTACAATGGACAACAGATCGTACGGCCTCCCGCAAGAATAAGGACAAGGTCTATCAGTTACAAGCAATGGATAAGTGGAATTGTAAAAAGTTTTAATTCGTCCGTGCATCGAAAGGCCGATGGTATGTAATTTTGCTCTTTTCCGTTCTTCACACACTCGAATAGCTGTTAAAATTAAATTTAATTGCGGGTTGTGCAGTCAAAATGTAACGTCGCCCAACATGGTTTTAGTTAAACCAGTGTCTTCTGAGGCGCTTCCACCAAAATAATTTAGAAGGGAACAACAGCGCTAACCGATTTAATATCTTCTCAAGAACATGTCAAAGTCTATTAAAACGCAGAAATTAAAAATAGTAAGAATTGGTGGTTCATGTTAAAAATCATTAAAGAACAGTTCTCAGTTTGGCTCGATAGTGCTGTCACTTTGCACTAGTTGTTCATAGTGACTTACTCATTACTTTCAGTATTTGTTCGAGCTTTTCTTCGACGAAATAGGGGACATACAAGAAATCGCAATTCACCTCTAAAACAAAAATAATAAGCTCTTCTCCCAATTGGACACCAGATATGACTGCGTAGTAATAATTGCGTACATGCGCT